TTCCATTATGTGAATGTAATTTAGAATAGTACTTTTAAAAATGCATTGATATGACATTTACAAAATGAGCATAACATCAGTACCTGATGAGCATACGTAACATACAAAATGAGTATTGATTAATTTTTTAGTTGTTTTGTTAGTTGAACATCACAACATTTTAATTGAGCATCAAACCTTCGTTATTGAGATGAAATTCACGGTTTCTGTTGAATGAGCATTAATGAACTTTTAATGAGCATCAGACCTATTATATTGAGTATTAGAAGTCTAATATTCAAAATCGTGATCTGTGCTTCATAAAAAATGAGCATAATATCAGTATGGATTGAGCATATGTAGCTTACAAAATAAGCATTAATATGTTGAGCATACGGACATTTTTCATTGAGCATTAAACCTCCTCTACTGAGTATTATAAGCGTGCAATTGAGTACCGATTGAGCATCAAGACGTTTTTATTGAGTTCAAATCGCCTGTTAATGAGCATCAGATGTATTCTATTGAGCATTAAGAGTCGAATAATGAGTAATGTGATATCAATTTCATATATTGTAATTCACTTTTTTTTTTCTTTTATAAAAACTCATTAAATTATAACTATAATCAATTCATATGAATTTCAATATGTGAATCAAATATAATATGGTACTTTTGAAATATGCATTGTTATGACATTTTAAAAATGAGCATAACATGAGTACCAATTGAGCATATGTAACTTACAAAATGAGCATATATATGAAAATCATGAGGTTTGTTAGTTGGACGTCACGATATTTTCATTAAGCATCAAACCTCCTATATTGAGATAAAAATAACGCTTTCTGTTAAATGAGTATTAATGAACTTTTAATTAGCATATGTAACTTACAAAATAAGCATTAATATGAAAATAATAAGCTTTGTTAGTTGAGCATGAAGACATTTTTTCATTGGGCATCAAACCTCCTCTATTGAGTGTTAGAAGCGTGCAATTGAGTACCGATTGAGCATTCATAAATTATAAAATGAGCATTAGTATGACAATCATAAGTTTTTTTAGTTGAGCGAGCATCAAAACGTTTTAATTGAGTATCATGATCTCTAATATGACTTGAAATATGCATTGATATGACATTTTAAAATGAGCATTTAACCAATACTAGATGATGAGCATACGTAACTTACAAATGAGCATTTAACCAATACCAGATAAGCATTCATAACTTACAAAATGAGCATCGAAAAAATTCAAAAGTTCAATTGAAATCTCTAATGTGTTCAAATATTCATTTGTGTATGTCTATTTCTTTTAATCGTTATACTCATTCGAAGATAACATAAACTTCTTTCTATAATTTGTACATCTAGTAGATTCATTATTAACAATTTAATAAACTATTATTATATATAACAATGTGAAATATAAAAATGTTTCACTAAAAATGATTTATAGTCTTTTGTTCTTGAATTACAAATATAATCGTTTTGTTTTTGTAATATTTACTCGTTCACATTTATTTTACACTATACTCATTTTAATATAGCACAAAACTCATACGGAGTATCAGTAACAACACACAATATATACTAATAAATATTCATCTCAGAATAATACAAAAAAAAACACCAAAATAAAAAAATATATTATAATTGAACAAACACTAAAGTAAAGAATTGTTACCGAAGAAAGAACGAAGGAAACAAATAAAAGCAAGATTAGAAGAAACGAAAAGACAAAAGAAAAGAAAAGACAAAAGAAAGAGATAAGTAACGAGCAGAAAAGCAAGGAAACAGAGAAAAGAAAAAACAACAAAAGAGAAAAGCTGAAATTAAAGGCAACAGACAGGGAGAGTAATGCAACGGCGCGGCGGAAAAAATTAAAGGCAATAGTAAAAACCAACATAACAAATACCCTTCAAACTGGAATTAATTACCAAAATGCCGGCTGTACCATGCTCATGGTACAGCCGGCTGTACAATATAATTTGCCACTAAATTATATTGTTAAACAACTTCATGTGAATGGGATATAACAAAGTTGACAAAGTCTAAGACTCCCGTTAAAAAGGGAACCCATTGCAAAAATACGATTTGAGTCGGATAATTTGCTTCAAAATCGGATGAAGCCCGTTACTTAGTTATTAATGAGCCGGGAATATACTTTTTGGTATACGATATGATTATTGAGGTTATACTCCGTATCATATAGTCTAACCCATAATAATACTATATCCGAATTAGTATTGAGACAACACATACGACTTGTCTCCATATTAGTATGGACCCAACTAAAATCATGTGTTCACACCCTTGTGGTATATGACATCAATTAGCATTGTATCCATTACTCAAGTGTATTATAAATTCTCTAAGTCATTATGATCCAATAGTATAAATTTAAGTGTTATCACAAGGGTATATAAATTAAGTCTATGTTTATCTTTTTATTACTTTATTATGTGTAATCGACAAGTTGATACCTATTTTACTAGGGTTTGATTTATTAGTGAATACTTGAGTTGTATGCCGAAAAACTATACGGATGATACCCAATTGTTCCCATGTGAATATCAGGCTATGAGTCCAAGTCGTACTAATACATTCTATGATCCTGAGTATATATGGTAACGTTATTTGAATTTAGACAATACACATCAAATGAGTCTGCAATTACATCGCAATATAAGTAATTATATTGCGATGAAATATCCTTAACACCGTGGTTACATCTTCAGTAATATATGCTGTATACCCATCTATATACCCATTAATCCAAGTATAAATGTGCATAGTATGTTCACATGGGTATCTAATGTCGTATGTAATTTTGTGACATCAATTACCGAGAACTTGCATATTAAATTACACATACAATCACGGTGTATATTCCAGTATTTAGATTGGACTACACTATAGTCTAGTCAATTTAAATTGACTTTAAATTGATTTTGCATAAGTAGCTATAAACGAATGGATTCACTCATCCTATAGTTCAAATCTAAATACTCGTATTTTGCTTGTGTTGGATCAACTTGAGCCCATTGAGTGGTAGAGTTAGATACAATTGACTTTATTAAAATAATTTTCAGGCACTATACGAGATAATCCGATGAAACCCATCGCAAACATGATTTGTGTACTAGATCATACAAGATTATCGGATGAATTAAAATAAGTATTACAATAACACTACTCGAAGTCAAAACTTATATGATCGAAATATATATGTTTATTAAAAGGGTTTTTTCCTAGTTCGTATTCAAAATTTAGAATACGATGTATACTAATATAGATTGGACATACAAGATTGACTTTAGTACTAAAATCAATCGAGTCACGAAGATTGATTATGAAATAGGACACAAGTTGATTTAATTATATGTGTTAAATGAGGTGTTGGTCACCCGTGTAAACATTCGTATCAAGTTAACATTTCGAGTTATGATTCTCGTGTAGTATTCTCGTTCATTTCACGAAACTGTGTAACATTGATCGTAGTGGGTTGTAACATTGACTTGGGTACCATGTTGATCAACTTCGTCAATTACATACTGTATTTCAATAAACTCGAGTGTATAATCAGTGTCTTGAATACACAATTCTCGTTCACGACTAAGGGAATTGTGTTTTGAGGCTTACTAAATAAACCGAGTCACGACGATTGACTTAAATTTGGAATACGACATCGGATGATCTCATTTCGAGTTGCAATGGGTTCCCTATGCAAAAATACACAATTCTCGTTCACGACTCAAGTCCAAAATATGAATAAAAAACTGTAATAATTACAATGACTAGTGTACATCAGGCCATAGTCTCGCTTTGTTTGGACAAAGTGAGACTATGTTGGGTATGACCGTATGAGTGATATCGAGTTTAGCCAACATGGTTTATGTAAGACATAGAACAGGTCGTGAGTCCATAAAATTTCTATAAATGGTTATTGAGACGCAGATAATCATATAGGTATATTATAGATTGTGTCACCGTAGTATACACAATCGTCAATAATATGTTGAGAAATATACGTCTAATCCCATAAACAATATACTGTATATGGGAATAGTTCAAAAGTAGGCGACCTATTGGTTGACCAATTCGAGCAACCATTGGAGTGTATTACTATCTTTGATCAATGTAAACGAGAGCCCATTACATATCTATGTTACAAAATTAATTACGATCTTTCACACTTGACATAGGGGACCCATTAGTTAATACTATAATGTGTCAATATTATGGTAGTATACGGTAAGAATACCTATCAAGACACATGGTGTCTTAAAATAATACTACCTCCGTTCTCTTTTAATTACAACATTGGACTTTTTGCACTATTCACATATTCTACTTTGACTATAATTTATTTATTAATGTATTATAAATTAAATTTTTTAAAAATATGGTTAAATTCTTCCCTTTCTAAATTTTCAAATTATGAATTTTTTAAATTTTTTACTAATAAAGAATGAAAGGTAGTAATGGTCAAACTTGTACGTTGGCAAACGTGAAATGTTGACTGTTGCAATTAAGGATGTTTTCTTATGGACTGTTTTCAGTCCCAGACTAGACCAGACCAGACTTAAATAGACCATACAAGACCAGACTAGACTTAAACAGACCAGACCAGGCCTGGATTTCTTAGTTATAAAATACACAGAGATCAGACGTTTACCAGACCCGACCAGACCAGTTCAGACCAGACTTAAACAGACCAGACCAGACCAGCAAAATTCAGTCCAAAAGAAAACATCCTAAAAAGGAACGGAGGAAGTATGAAATTAAAATAACCGTAATTTGTGACATATGATAATTCCCTATGCGACATACGTTGTCAATTGCAATGGGGTATATCACATAGTTAATTGGTGGTTTCTACGGTGCCCAACTTGTTTTTTGGGGTACCGTGCCCTGCTTATGTGGTCAAATAAATAATTGACATGTGGATAAGTAATATAGTGACGGAGCATTCTATTTAAGAAACAAAGTTTGCACTTTGGTCCTTATGTGATAAACTTAAACTTTAAACGTTAACGGAGGTCAATTAGCCCTTCCAGAGTTCCGGCCGTTCCAGTTTACCTACCATCTACCGCAACCTATACCTCGGTTTCTTCTCTCAACCAACAGCCGTTCCAGAGTTCAAGTACGGTCGTTGCCTAGCTACTATCCACCGCAACCAAACGGCGGCTTATTCTCTCCATTGCAATCGACGATACAACGCTATTTCCTTCGCTCCCTGGCTGCCGGAGCATAATCTTCACCGCGAGAAGTTTCCTTAGCTCCCTGGTTGCCGTTCACGGTCTCCACGAATTAGCCAAATCATTTGGGATTTTCCAGCATTGGAAGGTAAACTTGATAAAATTCTAAGAAATTCGGCATATACTTGGTTTATTCATCACATCTAATTTAGGGATTCTCTTGACAAACATGTGGGGGGATTTTCTTACAAGCTCTTGTTCTCAGAGCTTATTTGTCCAATTAAGCTTTTGATTTCTGTGTGAAGTAAGCATTTTTTCCGCTTCTGGTTTTGTTTATTTTCTGTTTTGGCAGAAGGGATTTTGTTTTTCTTTTGGTTTTGCTTGATAAGCTGCAATTGCTTATTTCTTCGTAATTGAATGCTGGTTGTAGTTAGCATTTTTTCTTTTTTCTGATCATTATTTTATAGAACTATTTTTTCAGTTCTTGATAGAATTCTTTCTGGTTTTAGACTATTAGTAGATTAGCAGATACTTATGTTTATGTTAAAAAGAAAGATAAACTTTTTTTAATTAGTATAGTAATGCTTTGATTTAGAAGTATAAATTAAACCTTGATTTTTTACTCAGTCACATGATTATACTCAAAGACCCCAGACTTAGCCTTTGTGAAGTCTTTGAGTTCTTTTAAAATTTTTGAAAAAGTTGGCTGGAATCCTAATACCAGATATTCCTTTTTTCAAGACTTTGAGGTGAAAAAATGTGAAGCTCTTTGTTTCGGGTAGAAGTAGCATAGTTGTGTACCTAGAATGGGAAAAATAAAAAGCTTAAAAATTGTGAGGAAAGCCTGTATGAGAATGGCTGAAACTTTGCTGCTACTAAGACACGTGTTTTCAGCTACTTCTGTTAATGAGAACATGAAACTATAAAGTGAGAATTTAAATACTGATCTAGAGAGCATGATACCATTTAAATAAAGATTCCTCTCTTAAAGGCACAATGGATGAGTGTTCCCTACGCTATGAGGACGGTTCTACCTAGATTTATCTCATCTTTTACTATGTTGCTCAAAGCTCCCTTTCTTTGAGCAATGTTTTACTATACTGCTCATAGGACTCACAATTGACACAGAAAAATATGTTGATTTCACACAGAAAACAAAAGCTTATTTGGATGAATGTTCTTAGAGGCTCTCTTAAAGTGAAAACCTGCACATCGGGGTCAGACCAATCTTTGTAAATCTTGTATGGTCTAGTCTATACAATTCAGCTATGGTCTGATCTAAGATTTGAAATCAACCTAATTAAATCTTTCTCATTTTATATAAGATTATATTTTTTTGTGGTAGTATATTGTTAGGTTTGTTTGTATGTATGACATCAACAAGAAGGTGAATAAATGGTGATCAATCATCAGTACATTTGAGGGAAAAAATGAATCTTTACAGAGCATATACCATCACTAACAGCTTATAGTGAGTAATAATGCTCATAATTAAACAAAACAGTTTAATACCATGTTTTTTCTTGCTAAAAAACCAATAGAGAGGCAACCACATGTAGTGCTAAACTTGAAAAATATTTATAAACTGTTTAATATGGCTTAATATTGTCCAACTCGAGAGCAATGTTAAATTATGTAAAGTAGAAATCTTGGATATGACAATTATGTTAATTATTGTCATATGCCTTCTGTTGACAATTTTACCATGTATGGAGTATATGATAATCACAATGGTCACAAATGAACCAAGTCCTACAAATATTCTCTTTCATACAATTTAGAATATAATACAGATTCCTATTTCCTAGGAACTAAGAAAACAAATAGATGCTGAATAAACCCTTTGACACTCCCAATCTGCTCCAACCGTACGTGGTATAATAAAAAAAGAAAGAAATTAAGCTAATTTGAAGGATCAATTCTACATATGTTTAAGATATAGACCGCATTCCAATCAGAACTTTCTAAGCCCTTGTGCAAAGCATTTGTGATCTTTCCACTTGTATCTTGTATACAACATTCCGTTTAGCATCCTGTATTAGTAAAAGGACTTGATCATCTGTCCTTATAATTAGCATTTAAATTACCATCTTGTCTTGCAAACATTATTAGTATGTTCATAATTTCGAAAATATGTTTCAACTAGTATATTTTCAACAAATTAAATTCAATGACCTGCACAAGTTAGTGAGACGTATAGACTTGAAAATCTTGTTTCTTTTAAGTTATCACTTCCTTATTTCTTATACTTAGTCACCCAATGCTTCCTTTTTTAAATCTTATATTTCAGAGTATGAATCAGCGGTCTTATTATAGATTTTGTTTTTATTTTTATAATGAATCATATTTTTCTTCTACAGGACCTTCTTCCAGTCATTCAAAAATGTCAGAGCATTGTCAAGAAGTTCAAGTCAATTATAATGAAGAGGTTGGTAAAAGTCTGAATGATGGAAGTAATTTTGATGGTGAAGGGCAATCAGCAGAGGGCTATAAAAAAATTTCCGATTTGACACCTGCTGATATTAAGAGACTCGAATTTGACTCTGAGGATGATGTTTATGCCTTTTATTCTTGTTATGCCCAAATTAATGGCTTTTGTGTCAGAAGAGATGATGTGCGTCGTGAGTCAAATAATAATATTATAATGAGAAATTTGGTTTGCAATCGGGCGGGATTGAGAAGTAAGAAGCACATGGAAAGGAACGATCGTGTTAGGGAGCCAAAGCCTATCACGCGTACCAACTGTATGGCACGACTTCGCGCAGAGTTCGATAACCATACAAGAAAGTGGATGATTGTTGATTTCGAGGATACTCACAACCATGAGATGACCCCATCACAGTATGTCCATTTAATGCCAGCTTACAGAAGCATTAGTGACGGCATTAAAGCACAGGTAGATAGTTTACGGTTGCATGGAGTTAGAACTTGTCACATCATGGGGCTGATTATTGGTCAAAAGGGTGGGCATGCCGATGTTGGGTTCTGCAAGAAGGATTTGTACAATTACATTGATCAGCAAAAGAGAGCTAAGATAAATGATGGCGATGCATTTGCTGCATTATCTTATCTCCAAGCCAAAGCAGACAGTGATAGTTTTATGTTTTCCAAGTTCACAACCACAGAAGAGGGGAGGCTCGATAACTTGTTTTGGTCGGATGGTGTAAGCAGGCTTGATTACCATTGCTTTGGAGATGTTGTTGCTTTTGACACTACGTACAAAAAGAACAAGTATAACAAGCCTTTGGTTGTTTTTTCTGGGTACAATCATCACGGCGAAACAGTTATCTTTGCGTGTGCCTTAGTATCCGATGAGAAGACAGAAACGTACAAGTGGGTTCTGGAAACTTTTTGTGAATGCATGTTTGGTAAACATCCTAAGGCAGTTGTCACTGACGGAGATGGTGCGATGCGTGAAGCGATTAGGGCAGTGCTTCCGAGCTCCTTTCATAGGCTTTGTGCTTGGCATCTTCACAAAAATGCATGCGATAATGTTAAGAACTCACGTTTTCTAGAAGATCTTAATCCTCTAATTTATGGTAACTTTAGCCCTGATGATTTTGAAAGCAGGTGGAAGAAGACCATTGATGAACATGGAGTTGCAAACAATAATTGGGTTAAGAAAGTTTATGACATGAAGACGATGTGGGCAAGTGCATATATGCGTGACAAGTTTTTTGCCGGTATTCGGACAACGTCCATCTGTGAAGGAATTAATTCATTCATTAAGCGGTATGTGCAGAACAAAAACAGCCTTGTTGATTTTATGCATAATTTTGAAAGAGCCGTAAAAGAGTATAGACATAATGAATTAATTTCTGATTTTAAATCCTTGTATACTGACCCTCTGTTGACCACTCCTCTACATGTCTATGAGTCGTGGGCTTCACAAGTCTTTACAAGGAATAAATTTTGTGAGGTTAGGAAACAGATTGAGAAGTAATAATTAGATTATTAAGATCATTTCTTTGCTTCTATAACCATTAGATTATAAGTAAGCAATTGGATTAAATATTTTTCTTTTAATCATTTCTTTGTTATTAAGGGCAATGCTCATATGCTTGGAAGTAAACGACACAAAAATAAAAAGAAGAGGAAAAACACAGAAGATCCCGCTAGATGTGCAAACACTAATGATGTAAGTTCTTTAATGGAGTTTGAAATTATTTTTAGTTATAGTGTTTTGAAATTGTATTAACTATGTATAAATGGATATGGCACAGGCTGTTGATGGAGGGAATAATAGTCATATCAATTTTCCAGTGACTAATGCTAATGTAAGACACCCTTTTATCGTGTCTTCACTATTTTTAACAGAGTAAAAATGCATTTTATCATATCTTCACTATTTGTCTTTGCAGTTTGTGAGTACTCTAAAGGAGGTTGAAAGAAATGCAAAAGATGGAATAAAGAATGGAAAAGGAGGTTGATACGTGTGTAAGTGTGTATATATGGAGTATGTTTGTGGTATATGTTATAAGTGTATATATGTTAATGTCAATGCTCTGCACACATTTCTCATTTAGTCTGGAGTATGTTTTGTTGCCGACTTTACTTATAACTGTATTTGTATTTGTGTAAATGCTGCAGTTTTAGGATGTTACATACTGACTATTTTTTGTGTCATTTCATTCATTCCACAGGATATGTTGCTTCCATACCTAGAAGATTATGAAGACGGATGTAGCATTACTGAGATTGTTGACATTAAAGAAATTTGATGATTCTGCTTCCAATTGTACCACTTCTATGAGACTTCTATGAGACTTCTTCGAGGGTTCAAAAAGGCTCGATGAGTTATGGGTCTTTCTGGGAATTATATTCGATGACAAGGATAGACTATGCAATTCACATTGTTGATTGAGGCAGAAGCAAACCACATGCAATTTCTTATTGTGAATTTTGTTTATTCTATATATTAATATATAGCATGAACACCATTTGTTTTCTCTACCACACATCATGAATTAATTATACAATTCCTGTGCTCAATGTATACCTCAAAGCTTCACTGAAGTCTAGATTGGTTTAGAGAAACACTATTGCCAATATACAGAGTTTGCATAGCCGTTTATTCATAAATTTGAGGTAGGCATTAGAGAACATATTGCCTGAAAGAGTGGTTAAAACAGAGGAAGCTGGATTGCATGCTGCCTAGTGAACTGTTTATTCCTGTTAGTTTTTCTGGTATCAAGTGTATAGTGTGGAACATGTGGTGTGTCTAAATAATTCAAATAGAAACTAGTATCCCAATTAGATTACACCATCACTAGAGTTCTAGTATCCTTGGTATCAGGTAGTTGTGGGATTGAATTAAGATCTGCCAGCTCTACTAATCCTTTTGGTAGCAAGAATTTGACATTGCATGCATCACCTGACAAATGAGTGTAGTAACTATCTGTTTTAAACCATATTTGGGTGATAGATGATGTGAATTTGCTATCGGCAGTTCGAATTAAAGCAAGAGAGTTCCAATATTTGTGGATTGAGAAGTTTGACATGATTGGCAGATAAAAAGAAGTGAGCTCTTCGGGTTTTTAAGAGATGGATACACGATCATACAAAAAAGAGTGCTTATTCTGTCAAGTTATGAAAGTATTGTTACGGATGCAGAATCAACTTCACAGACATGTTAATGTTCTAGTTCAAGCTAGCTTCAATTAAAAGGGACAGATCTTAAAATGGATGTAATTATATTTTTTTTAAATGGATGGATAACGTTCTGCCTATGTTTATTCTATTTATTTGTTTTGTAATTTCTATTGGAAAAATAGCCCTAAACATTACTTATTATTAATTATAGACAAAAATGTGACAATAAGTTATTATTAGTAAGTTTTACAATCACTACAATGTAATATTTGAATATAAATATAGTAACTAAAATTACTAGAATAACATTTTAATAATAATCCAGATTTATTTTCGCTATTGTAAGACTGCTAATATTCTAATAATATAATATTTCCAATAATATCATAATTTAATAATAATAGTAATTCTATCAATAATATAGTAATAACAAAATTAAATAATACTAGTAACAAAAAGTGACTAGGTATGAATACTTAGATAATAACTCTATCATGACTTAAACATTATACTCCTTTAAATATGATGATGATGATGAGGAGGAGGAGGAGGAGTACGAGGAGGATGATGGTGATGATGATGATCATGATCATGATGATGATGGTCATGAGGATGATGATGATGAGGATGTTGATGATAATGATGATGATGATGAGGATGATGAAAATATAACTCTATCATGACTTAAACATTATACTCCTTTAAATAATATCAACTCCCTTTCATTAATCAATAATAATACATACTTTATAAATAACTTTAAATAATACCAATTATCTGAACATTACAATACGAATTATGTGGGCGTAAACACATTCAAGTTAGTTTCCTATTTTTAATAATATCAATAGAAACAACAACAATATAAAAATAATAATAATAATAATAATAATAATAATAATAATAATAATAATAATAATAATAATAATAATAATAATAATAATAATAATAATAATAATAATAATAATAATAATAATAATAATAATAATAATAATAATAATAATAATAATAATAATAATAATAATAATAATAATAATAATAATAATAATAATAATAATAATAATAATAATAATAATAATAATAATAATAATAATAATAATAATAATAATAATAATAATAATAATAATAATAATAATAATAATAATAATAATAATAATAATAATAATAATAATAATAATAATAATAATAATAATAATAATAATAATAATAATAATAATAATAATAATAATAATAATAATAATAATAATAATAATAATAATAATAATAATAATAATAATAATAATAATAATAATAATAATAATAATAATAATAATAATAATAATAATAATAATAATAATAATAATAATAATAATAATAATAATAATAATAATAATAATAATAATAATAATAATAATAATAATAATAATAATAATAATAATAATAATAATAATAATAATAATAATAATAATAATAATAATAATAATAATAATAATAATAATAATAATAATAATAATAATAATAATAATAATAATAATAATAATAATAATAATAATAATAATAATAATAATACATAGTATTGGTTTTGATAAAAACATATATTCACCTCTACACGTAGAACCTCATCGATTGAAGTATACTAGAAGACATTATTTTGAATAATATATTCGACTCACTATTCTATGATGATGATGAGGAGGAGGATAATGATGATGATGATGATGATGATGATGATGATGATGATGATGATGATGATGATGATAATGATGATGATGATGATGATGCTAATGATGATGATGATGACGATGATGATGAGGATAATGATGATGATTATGAGGATACCGATGATGATGATGATGAGGATACTGATGATGATGAGATCATGAGGATGATGATGATGATGATGGTGATGATCATGAGGATGATGAGGAGGAGGATGATGATGATGATGATCATGAGGATGATGATGATGAGGAGGATAATAATGATGATGATGCTAATGATGATGATGAGGATAATGATGATGATTATGAGGATATCGATGATGATGATGAGGATACCGATGATGTTGAGATCATGATGATGATGATGATGATGGTGGTGGTGATGATCATGAGGATGATGAGGGGGAGGAGGAGGAGGAGGAGGAGGAGGATGATCATGAGGATGATGATGATGATGATGATGATGGTGGTGATGCTCATGAGGATGATGAGGGGGAGGAGGAGGAGGAGGAGGAGGAGGAGGAGGAGGAGGATGATGATCATGAGGATGATGATGATGATGATGGTGATGATCATGAGGATGATGACGATGATGATGATGATGATCATGAGGATGATGATGATGAGGAGGATAATAATGATGATGATGATGATGATGACAATGATGATCACGAGAATGATGATGGTGATAGTGATGAGAATCATGATGAACATGAGGTGATAATGATGGTGATGATGATAGTAATAATAATAATAATGATAGTAATAATAATAATAATAATAATAATAATAATAATAATAATAATAATAATAATACTAATACTAATACTAATACTAATAATAATAATAATAAACGATCATAATAATAATAATAATAATAATAATAATAATAATAATAATAATAATAATAATAAAAGGATAATTTCAACAATAGGAGTTTAAAGTTTCAATTTCCAAACCAGGACTAACTCTTTCAACAATTGTGTAAATTATAATCTAAAATCAAAAAATTATTTTAATATGTTGAAAGACCTAAGATTTTGAATAATATATTCAACCCACTTATCTTATGGTAAACTTAGGAAATAATTAAAGGTATATATATCTGTTATAGAATTAATTTTAAAAATAAAATAAAATAAAATGTTTGACAAATCTAGACGCATATAAATAATATAGATTTTCCGAAAACAATGCTTGTACTAAATAATATTTATGCATAATATAAAATTTTCATGATCATTACGATATACAAAATTGAACATTTTTGTACTCACTAAAAATTACTAAGTCCTTTTTTCATCCACCATAATAAAAATATTCATATATTAGAAATTATTTATACATTAGATTCATATATAATATTGATTTTATATTAAAGTTAATTGTTTGTGATTTTTATCAGTCCAAGCCGGATTATAGATTTTAAAGCCCGAATATTCGGGTTCGATCCAAATATTTATTATTCGCACAATTTAAAAACAAAAACCCGTACCATGCCGGATCCAGTTTTCCCACCACTAATTCACACATTATATTCCTATTTTCAAAGTGAAATTATTATTTTTGTCGGTTCAAATATTCTTATTTTGTACAATTATTTTTCTTGAGAGTTAGAAATACATATCTCTATTACAATAGGATACTACCTTATTGTGTTGTATTTGAACTAGGAAACTTTACAAAACCTAAACTCTATATAATCCCTCAACCCTGCGCCAATAGGATACGCTCATGTGCCTCAAACCTGCGCCAATTCTCCCTCAAGCCTGCGCCAATTCTCCCCGCAAATTCTCCCTCAAGCCTGCGCCAATGGCTGCCAACAGAAACACCGCTACAGCAAAACGGACAAGGTTCATCAACTTAGATGAGGATTCTTGCACATCTCCCATCAACATCAAGGAAAACAAGAATGATGCAATTGTGATTCAAATCTCTTCTAGGTAAATACTGTTTTCTTAACCTGAAAATAAATTTAACAAGTATGTTATGCGCAAGCATGTGTAATATTTTCTTTCAAAATCACAGTGATAACGTGTGCGATGATGCAAGTTTGAAAGCACATGAGAAGCCCAACAATGAGGTAATATTCCACAGTATCAATACTTATAAGCAATTCTTGTCAAATTGGTTTCTTTGAGAAGCTTGCTCTCTTAATCATGTTAAAACTTGAATCCATTCATCTACTATTTTGTTAATGGTATTTCTACTTGTTTTTTAAAGCCAAATAAACGAGTTAATTAACTAATGATATCTTTTTGTCCCGTATTTCTTTACCCTTGCTTATGAGGATTCTTTTATTCGATCAGTATATATGAAAAATGTCACATAGCAAAAGTAACTCTAGAAACAGAGCACAGTACACTTTAAGGCCTTACATAAACATTGAGACTCATAACAGGGCCTATATTCTGGGAAATTAACTCAAACATTAATTCATATCTAATGAGCTTAACTAAACATATAATCAATTACTTTCTCACACCAGTCCGATTATTTTTAAAAACATTTTTTTTAATTGAGAACATCAGAAAAATTGAGTACATGACAGTAGTTTTGTTTCTACTTTTGATCCTGAGTCCAAAAATGTAAATTTTATAACTACTATTGTAAAATAGGAGTTCCAAAAAACTAACTTGTTTTTCGATGTCACTGAACTGATAAGGTAAAACAGAATCATACTACATATAATGTGATCATAAAGTTAAATTTAACCATAAAACCAACATATGTGCCGGCAGACAATGTATCTTGTATAAATACAAACATACCAGTTGCTAT